TGGATCCTCGCTTCAATTCGCTTTCTCAACACCAAATCTTTGTGGTGCAAGCTTTACGAAACTCGGTTGGAGGAGCTCGTGAGTACAATAATCTGTGCTACCGTGTACTGTGTTTGTCTGTTACCTCCGACGAGACGTTTACCCCGGATATTGGACCCTAATACAGGGGCCATCTTAGGTTGCCGTAACCCTAGGAGAGAATGGTGAACATAGCTTTTCTCAAAGTAACTACGTCGTTCATCATTCTATTTGTGCTGCAACGGATGCTGAATCTCCTGGGGCTGGATTCATGTTATCTGAATGCTACTCGGTGATCGTCGACTCTTGTTGCGTCTATCTGTTCTCTCGCTATCTTGTCGTCCAACGAACAGCAAAACTACGCATCCTCCCAGCTCTTTGCGTCATGGTCGGATTCGTTCCGTTCGTCTGTATATAACTATGAATTTTGCCGTAAATAAGCTGGAGCTGCGTCAAATTCTCTTCAACGTGTTGCACAGCAAACGACTTCTCATCTGTCATTAGATGAACTTCTTCGAACTAACACCGCCAATTCCAGCCTTTCTCTCGACGCTGTTTACTGTGTTCTTTCCACGATTTCTGAAGACGTTCTTGTTTCACGTATCTATCTGTTCTAATTCAGCACGCGACTGCCACCTGTTGATTATTACCGCTGACTCATCAATTCGCTCTGTGACTTTCTCTCTCTCCGAAGAGTAGATGTTTCTTCCGGCACCGGTGTTACTGTTTCTTTCTACTTGCAGATCGTTTCGATGCCCTTGCCCATGACGAAATTTTCAGAGATAAGTCGTGAAGGTAGCTGTGTTCAAGCAAGACGTCGATGTATTTTGGTGCGCAGGTTGAGATAACAAAAGGCACGAGTCCAAGCAATAATTCTATTTTTTTGTTCGAACAGAAATGTGGATAATAATGCCTCACCTGTTGGAATATTTGGAAGACAAATATGTAGAAGCAAGGAACGGTGATCGCCCAGGGACCTCGCAGCTAGCGAGCGTACCCGCACCCGTCGGTTAACATCGCGCTTCGTCGCGCCAGCTGTGAACATATAGCGCAGGTCCCCGAAAAGGAGAACACGCTTTCAACACGCTTTGACCCCAAGTGTTCTGGAAAGCAAAATCGACTCAAAATTCAGTATTCAGTAATGAATGCGAAGATATTCGTGCGGCAATCATCACACTTTACCTCAAGAATTACCAGATTTTATTCAAATAATCTTCTCGACCTTCCACCGTGACCTGTCCTCCTCTCATTGGGTTACAATTTGGTTCAACATTTTATTCAAGAAGTCACCATGCCATGCTCGTTGGGTGCATGATGGGCATAGCGGAGTTTACGGATATTGGCCAAAGGGCCCAAAATGGGACCTTTGGTCTCAATTACTGTCGGCTACCCCGTTTCGACTTCCGGTCCTCTGCCTGTCCTCGAGTCGCTGGGATATTCAAGTCATTTTATTCCATACTTGCGGGTCTGTCGTTTCAGGTTTTGGGGCTGTAACCGCCTTTCAGAAGTATTCTTTTGTCCAGGCCCAGATCTTTTGAGTAAGATCTCAATTAAGTGCGTACCATTGACATGTCATCACTCGAAAGCCAACAGCTATTTCTGATATCCTTGCTTTGACCGCTTTGCCCTTTTGTCAGATCACGTATATAAAGACCTCCTCTGACCTCTTTCCAAACTTCTCCCCACTGCAGTGCAGACTTACACCACTCAGGTCAATCGTCTAAACCATTCTGTCAGTGAACCTATACCCTTGAATCGACCCAACGTTTTCGTCGTTGTACCTCCCACTCCACGCCTGGAATAACGAAACTCGCTACGAATCTACTCATTATGCCATCTTACTTCCGTAACCTCTTTGGTGGTTCCAATAACCAGAACTCTACATCTTCATCAAAGACTCACAGTCGTTCGCGTTCTGCAACAGCGAACATATATGCCCCGAGTAGTACGCCAGGTACTACTCCATCACAACATTCATCTACCACAAGCATGGGTCGTAGTCACAGTTATTCTGCTTCATCGCAAGCTCCCCATCCTTCTCCATTACGCTTTGCAACGGGAACTAGTACGCCGTCGTCTGATACGAGAACTGCGTATGGCTATGGCAGACGCCCTAGTCATGGCTCAAGAAGTTCAACCGAACCTCCCGTTCGTCCTCAAGTTTTGAGACGAGCAAGTCACCAGCATCATCAGCAAGCAGGTAAGCATGTTTGATTATTCGTTTATCATCATTCCTAGTAGCATTGCCTTCTGACGTTCTTCATGGGATCTTCCGTATTTGTGTCACACAGATCGAACCCATTACCCTATCTACACATCCGGTGCTCATATCACTCCAGCTAGCTCCCGTTCGAATTCAAGTTCATCGGTTTTCACAAGCATGGGCTCAGCAGCTTTCATGTCAACGAACTCCGACTCAGGACATCATTACTACCCGAAACACCCTGATGTACGACCACCTTTGCACAGATCAAACCATACATGGCACCCCGGCAGCAGTGCAGGGAGTGCTTCTTCTTGTAAGTTTCTTCACTAGAGTCACATTATACAATTGCCTCATGTTTGAATTTCATCTCCACTAGTGGGTTCATCTCGATCGCAACAACCCGCGGCATATGCACAACCTCAACCACGACCTACAACGCTTCACATGCACCCATTACTCGCGTATACCCGTTTACACCGTGCACCTCTCAGTTACGATGTCACGTTCACACCATCCGCTAGAACCGTATTGGATCGAACAACTCATTCTGCGATTCCCTCTCATACACTTTCTCAACCTGCAACTGATCCACCAACCCCTTCTTCATCTCGTTTGGTCCTTCGTTGCGACAAATTTCCTTGGCCTATTGTTGTTGGACCTTCAGGACCGAGATTTACAATTGGTCCTGCGAAGCACTCTCATAGCAAGAGTGCAGGAGGTTTTATTACGAACTTAGATGTTCTTTATGCCGTTCACACCACGCTTCTTACAGCTGTCACTCCGGAAGAGTGGGAATCACTTGGACACGGAAGCAAGAAACAGGCAAAGGTTACCAAGGCTTACGAGAAGAGGTGTACTAGGATGGGGGGAGGTTGGGAAGGTGGTGTCAAGAGAATTGATTGGCTTGGTTCGAAGACGAGACTTGTCGGCGTTGAGGTAGACAAGAGCGCTGGAAGGGCTGGTGGAAAACTCGTCTTCAGTAAAGCTTAAGTGCTTGTTACTGCGGACAAAGCGTCTCAGTGGAAAGATTGGGAGCCTTTGGATATACGAACGATCCGAGGTTCCTTGAATGGTATGATAAAAACTCTTTTTCGTTATCTGGGGCTCTCTCTCTTCTCTTTTCTATTCGTTTGCCGCCGCGCGTGCATGCTTTTTTTCTCTTCCTCTTATTCAAGGTTTGATAAAGTTGACTGAGAAAAAGTACTGATAATATTTTTGGGACTCTTTGGATACTTTTTGCTTTCTGTGTTGCTGTCGTCGTCGTCTCATCTCCGCTCATATCTTTTCTTTCCATAAATCTGGCTTGTGTACTATAAGGTTTGTACGATTTTTATCATGGTTTTTACGAGTTTTATGGACACGCTCGCATGTCTCCTTTGTAGTAATAATCTTCTAACCGCATAATACACAAGGTTGGGTTTTTTATGTCTACTATGCCTTCACTTTCAATATGAATATGCCTTATGGACTCACTACATTTGTGAACAATTGATACACAGGACTAAATTTGAGGATGATTATTTATACAAGAATGCCAACATAGAACAAGGACGAGGAATCATTTAGATTGAGAATATGAGCCAGAAACACTTGGTTATTTGAGGAGGTATCCAGAGAGAGAGACAAGATTTAGAGGCGTTCCGTTCAAGAGCAGTCCACACCAAGGCTAGGGAAAGAGTACTGGCCAGGAATAGCAACAGGGCAACCAGAGCGATCGCGGTGAGAGTTGCAATTAATTTGGTCGTTTTCACTTGAACAACAACGGAGGCAGAATCGATTGACACTTGGTTCGACTCTATAAAGGCACAAGAACCAGGGGGAATCAACCGCTATTCCCTCTCAGAAAATTGAAAGTGTGTACGTACTGTTCAATGAAACTTGCACCATATCCGCCAAAGGTACATTGCGCGCCGTTAGGGAAGCGGACGTCGAATTGACCACCGTCATCGGAGGGAGCAAGACCGGATTTACTGACATCAAGACACCCCGTAATCTAAAGGGCGAAAAATCACGACCGGTGGTTAAGAGAAAAGAGGGTGCGGAAAGTGTAAACATCAACACACTTGGATCCACGAACCGTCTTCTGCCCGATTGACAGCGGCCGCAGTTATAAAACCCTCGTTCATTCTTCGTCCGCATGCCTCACCGGCTCCTGCAGGAGAACAAAACGCTGTACCATCGGCTTCAGCGTCTGAAATAAGTTCTACTCGGGTGGGCGTATCAAGCATGCGTTTCAACATAAACGAGGAGTATCTTACCGCTGGTTTTGTCTGGTAAGATCAAGGCGAAATCTTTCTCATCTGTAATATGAACTGTGAGAGAAGGAGACGGTTGTCCTGTAGGAGATGGTGTAGGTCTGGTATCCAAGTCCACCTGGGAGGCGTCGTCACGAGTGACCAAAGTAGGAACATATGTTTCCGAGCCAAAAGGATCCATCTGCCGAGACCCTAAGATTCCTGACATAAATTCTGGTATACTGAAGGCGCATTCGAGGTCTTGAGAAATATAATCATTTCTGGTAGTGTTCAAGATGCGTTGGAAAAGACAATCAGAAGATAAGAAAGCTGCAGACCAGGCAAGATGTCCGAAAGAAAGAGTAACCACTAGAGAAGATCCAAGCATTGCACGACGTTGAAGATTTTGCGAGAAGAAAGTATCGTGGAAGAGGAGACTCGGACTTGCTCTCGCAACTTGGTTCAACTTTTCAACGGATCAAATGTTTCGGAATACTCCGACCGGAGCGCCCTCTAAGATTCTCGGCAAAATCACATGTCAATCCCGTTTAGCTCAGTGGTAGAGCGCTTCACTAGTACATGTTGCGAAATGAAGAGGCCACTCGTTCGAGTCGGGTAATGGGAAGTAAACCTGAGTTGCGGTGTGGTTTTTTACTTCTTTTCCCTCGCGATGTTTTCGAGAAGGAAGACTGAACTTACCGACATCCCCACAATTTTCCTGGACAGTTCTGGGGGCGAAATATTTTTTGTTGCCGGCACGAAAATTCCGAGTGTCGTAAACTTCTGATTATTTTAGGCTCACCCCAGCAACGCATCCTACAGTGAGACAATTCACAAACGATGGAAAAAATATGCAGTAATTTCATTTATTTGAGTACGTAGGTGAATAGTGTCTCAAAAGCCCAGAATGAGAGAAAAGCAACGATAGAGATAAAGTAAAAAAGTACAGAGCAGTACGAGAGCGGAGTGTTCAACGAGATCTTGCGAGACAGAAAAGTACATGATAAAAGGCACAACAGAAATGGGGGAGAGTGGCGGACGACAACGAGAGAAGGAGGGAAGCGAGAAATGGAGTACAGGAACAGGGACACGAAAGAATATACATCAGAAAGCAATCGGCAAACTGTCGTTTAGAGATGAGCGATGTGCAGGAGAAGATCCAGAGTCCGAAAAATATTAGTAGGGTTGTAGTAGCAGAGCTGGAGGATTTGAGGTAAAGCTACAGTGAGGGGTGAGATCGATACATGAGGAAAGGGGTCCGTAATATGCTGAGCCAGCCAGCACCCGAAACCGATTCTAATTAAAGGACGAGAGGTGGATGGGTAGTGACTGATAGAGTCTCGGAGTATATGGAGAGCAAAGGGATGGCCGAGTGGATTTTGTAGTCCATTGAAGTGCATTCGAATGTCCAAGGATAAATAAGAGACTTGACGGCAGAGGGCAGTGGAAGCCTTAAGGTCTAGTATAGAGGATAAAGTAGGGACCAGGTGTGCCAGCAGAAACCATCCCTGAAAAGATAACAGATTCGCCGAGGAGATCTGCATTGGCGGTCAAGTTGGATGGAACATCCCTACGAGTCAACAATCTGTTGTCAATTCGTCCGCAGAGACTGGTATGTAGATAGTAGAAAACATCGCCAACGGTGACGAAGCCGTTGGGACCATGGCCTTTGACTTCGACAACGACTGATCCTGCAACCAAAATCTCTAAAGAGTTTGTAGGGGGATTGGTTGCAGGTGCGCGTAGAACTGAGCTGTTGTAATTGCCTCTGAAGCTGATGCGATCAACACCGTGTCTGAGGTTGAAAGCTACCATTGAGGAGCATTGAGGTGTTAAGATAGGATTTAAATCGATTCTCCCAGAGCTTTGTCTTTGAGGACTATCCGGAGGGGTGATCAATCCATCTAAGCAGTAGAAAGTCAGTGATCTGACATCCTTATAGGGAGAGGGGAAAAGAACTTACTGCTGGGTCCCCCAGGTAGAGGGACGTAAGGGATAAAGGGTGTTCTGGGAAAGTGGGATGAACTCGGCGTCTGAGGTGACGGAGGTAGGTCTGAATGAGGGATGTAGGGTGCGCCGGGGGTGGATGGAGGGTACCCGGAGAGGGATCTGGCATAACCGGGAGGAGTGACCGGTTGGATGCTGTATCCTGACGATGTGGATGGTGATGGATATCCGCGTGAATGCATTGCGAGTATGATGAGGGATTGGGTGATAGTCGGGGAGGACAGTTAGGCGACGGTGAGGACGGTGAAGACGGAGGATGCAGAGGGAGAAGACTGGAGAGGCGTCGGTGCTGGAGAGGACGTCCCCCGACGCGCAGCATATTTATACAGGGCGGGAGGCGGGAGATGTGATGCGCGTTAGCAGGTGTACAAACCCCGACAAACTGTGAATGCCATGTTTATTCTAGCAAGGATGCCACGAGTAACCAAATACACCCCGACCACCATCACAGACGGTGATGAAAAGGATGAAAGCGCTTAGCATGCGGCGGTGGGATGTCCTCATGGGCCCTAGCGCGGAGGCGGGAATTGCCTATTTGGGAATGTTTGCGCCCGCTTGGCACCGACGCTTGTCCCGATAAGGAAAGAGGGCGGGTCCTCATGCCACAGTGATTGATGCGATAATATTCACGCTGTTCACACCCTGTCTTTGAGAACCCCTTTGTTCAAATCCCGACATTTGATGCCGACCACCCGACATCTCGACTTTATGTTGGAGTGATGAAGAATTTCCCCTTCTTTGTCGTTGTCTTCCCCGTTCGGCGGGCGTGGCGGGATGACCCTGCAAAGGCGGTCTCACCGCCGAAGTCACATTGTCACACAACCATACGGTTTGTTGTTGGGAACAATCAACAAGGAATAAACGGGATGAAAGACAGAGCCCAAAATGTGCATTTCTTCGATGTTTGGCAAACAAAGTGTGATTTAGACTGTTTGCATACCCCGATCCCAAGTGCAAATGTTGTGAGAGCGCATTATTCTCCTTCGCTGATTCGCTGAGCTCGATGGCGCATCAACAATGTCCGAGGTGATGCGCCTTCCGACCGACAGTTCGAACTGTCTATGAAAGCACTAGAAGCAGCAATGCAAACATTATTGGTTTTGTTGGGTCGTTAAGCAAACAAAGATGGTGTAAACGATCCCACCAATATCACACTTCCCGTCAAGAGACCCTTGGTTCGCGTATATGAATAGAACCAAGAATCAAAGGCCATCGTTGACTCGTATCCTAGGATCCCAAATATCCCAGCCACAGACAAACAAAGGAAGTTCGAGCCACCGGAGCTGGATCAGGGTTCTGTTGTTGGTCTCAAACATAACACAATATTGGTAACGAGCCCCGTAGCCTGGCCTGAGGAGCCACAGTCAGATGGTGTCGTTTGGAAAGACGTTTGACTCGTATGATCGTTCGTTGACAATGACAGAAGATAAATGAAGTGGTTGAAGCAACAGTGTTATTCGGATTTGTTTCATTGAGGTGAATGTCCAACTCGTACTCAGCCGAAGAAAGTATCATTTGCATTCCAACCTGTGATACACAGTTAACAATCTGTAGATCCAAATCGATTAGCCAAATATTATTGACTTGTACAAGGTTCAAGATTAACATCTCACCTCGAGGCGTGAATATCGAACACGACCGGTTTGTTGAATGCATCGTGTACCGTGGGGCTCTGCACGAGGCCAACAGCTCGTTCAAAAATGACATAGCTTGCTCAACGCTTCCAGCCATTGGTAGGTGTTTGAGTATTCGGTGTGATAGTGCACTTGAACGCGTAGCTTGTTGCGGGAAGGAGATTCAAAGTGAAACGGGATGAAAATAAAAAACTCTACCATACATTAAACAAAGCATAATATAACACTTGGGTATCTTGGAATACAGTTGCAACACGAAAGCTAGAGAGAGCGAAGAAAAGGACGGGAGATAGTTGGTACTGCAGGGACTTTTGGAAATCTAGATTTGACTGAGGGGTGGGTGGTCAGAGCTCCTTAATAAACCGACCACGATGATCAGAGCTCACCTCATGTTGTAAAAGTTTCGATCACTTCCTACGACCCCTTCGTTACAATCCAATCTCTTGAAGGACCGCAGCTTCTAAATCAGCATCTACAACCTGCGCTTCGTAATCCACTGGACGAATCTTTCTTTTGGAACGTTGCCTGCCTCCAATACCACCTACGTATTTTTTACCAGTCACTTTCTGAGCTAAATGTTTGATCTCCGCGAAGTCGGAAGTGGCTTGTGCGCGGAGCCAAGCTGCACTATCTGCACGATGGACCAAGCATTCAGGCTGCTTATACCCGTCGATTGCCGTCAGATGAGAATCGTTGACCTCTTCCACCATCGACCTTCCATCAGCCCATAACGACCCTCCGTTCGTCTTGTCAAGGACTTTGGCAATGTCAAGGCTTTCACCAGGAGGGATCGGAACAGGTTGAGAAGGCGTGACGCAAGGCATGTCGACTTCCTTTCGTAGCACCTTGTCGATATCGACAGCCGAGAAAAACGCGACACCTTGAGGTAAATCATCCATGCCCAACTTGAACGAAAACAAGCTGCGTGTCCAAAGGTTGGCAATTTGCAACGCCAGAGCAGCGCGGTATCGGTCCTCTTCCTTCACAAGATAGCGGAGTTCATCGTGTACTGAGATGAGGAAGCGAGCATTGATGTTATATTTCTGGATTAGATAATCCATAGAAACAATGAGGAGGTGGAGATAATCGACGCCGGAAGATTGGACAACCCAATTGATGCGAGATGGCATGTAGTCAGAACCAAACTCTTCAGGGAGATACTCTTTCGAAAGAGCGTATGTGACGCCACATCCTAGAGCAGGAGTTTGAGGACAGTCGGAGGTAGCAATTTGTTCAAGCTTGTTGAATACAAAACTCTCCGTACCGCCAAACCAAAATTTGCGATTGAATATATCCTGTCGGTGAGTATTCTTTCCCTTTGTCGATGCGTAGAGATTCCCTGCTAGTTTCTGCGCCTCTTCAGCAAGCATACCGGCGTTGGATTGGAGTAACAGGAGAACAGCATGTTTCATCCCAGCACCATAAATACGAGAGTAGTTGAAAACCTTGGCTTGATCTCTGGATATCCCCAAAATACTTGCAGTCTTGGAATGTAAATCGGTTCCCGCGGACTTGGTTCCTTCCAGGGTCATCCATCCGATAGCCGTCGCACCGTGTAAGCCGAATTGCGCATCGCCCATGACACTTGAAATCCACAACTCTTCGGAGTCAACATCTGCACCGACGATAGCGTAACCTTCGGGAGCACGGACCATAGCTTTCAGCTCAGAACCAACACGGTTCTTCTTCGCATTGCTAGCGGTGAGCCACGTCTTTTCAATAGCACGACGAGTGACAGTACCCATAGTGATGATCTGAGGAATAATTACGCCCCATTTTCCTTCAGAATCACCTGACTGCCCAAAACCCATCTTCAGCTTCGCATCTTCCCAAACGACCATTTGCTTCATCACTCGATCCCTAGCACTGATCCAATAGCTACACTGAGCGTTCATGTCAAGCGCGTCTTTAGCTTCACCTCCAGGACTAGTCAACGTTCCATCTTGGGCGTACTTCATGAATGTCTTCCCAAGTGGGCTGCCTA